TTGTGAAAAGCATACAGCCACTCTTAACGAGAATTTTTGGTTGAAGAACTGCTTGTGCATAGACCATCCATTTGATCTTGGTAATGCGAAAGTGTTTGCTACCGCAGGAGATTCTGGAGCAGTGCTTTTTGAAAGAAAAGAAGATAAAAGTCTTGAAGGTTTTGGCATAATTTTTGGCGAGCATCGAAATTCATACCAACTTTGTGCCTTGGCCACCCCACTGCAAGTTGCTCTTGAAACGTTGTCAAAAGAGATCCCTTTGAACACCGGCTTAAGACTACTTTCAATCTATAACGAGTAACCTTGTAATTGAGCAGTTCTTCATTTATTCTTGATGAAGATGTTTGAGTTTTTTCTGGTTGTTCGCCAGTATATTTTCGGCCTAATTTCTTGTGACAATTAACAACATATGCGAAGGGAAACTTATATAAACTTATATTCCAAAAATGCAAAGCGCCAAAAATGTCAGGGTTACCTACTACAATTTTTATTCCGAGAGGATTTGAATAGCATGCGTTATGGTACCCACGCCAAATACTGAAGTGATACTTTGGAAACAACTACACGGAATGTTTGGTTTATGACTGATTTTTCGAAAAGGAGACCTGCTAAAGACCTTTTTGGAAAGAGTCTAGTCGCAAAAGACCTATGACTTTTACCATCGCTCAGAGTTTGTTGGGTAGACTGGTTCATTCGAAGGATAATTCTTTTTTAATGACAACTGTGCGGCTAGTTTAGTCCATTCCCAATTGTTTTATCTATTCTGATTGATTAGGTATAAATATAGGGTACAACTGAACTCTATAGTGTCATATATGCTCGAAGTTTCTTTTTCGATTTAACATTTTTGATAAAAGTAGTCAGTTTCCACAATTTTTAGTTGCGTTTTAATTAAAAACGGTGTTTGGTATCGGTGGATGGACGTGACTTTACTCCTTAAGGTGTCAGAAAAAAATTTATCCTACAATATTTTTAACTTTCCTTAAATGTACCCTAACAACGTCTGTCTCGAGAAATGCAATTAATGCAATAAAAAAGATAGGTCATAGTGCTTGTCTAAGAGATATGATGTGCCAAACTTACCCCACTTATGCCTTATTTGGCATTAATCACGCGCGTCGTTTCAGAGGTTCACGGTACATTTTTAGTTAGCTGGAAGCAAGAGTTTTTTAAGTAACACTTGGAAAAACTTTATAGATGGAAAGTCTCGAGCGTATGGAACAGTTTGACATATAACTTGTGGAAAATCATGCAATTTTAAACGAAATTGGCCAGTGATCCTCTAGAAAAAGGCAGTAGTGAGTTCAGGGACTTATTAAACAGCCAAAATCCAGTGAGTCCCACACACAGGAGTGTGAGTTCCACACAGGAGTGTGAGTCCCACACAGGAGTGTGAGTCCCACACTCATCTTTATACGAGGTGTACCTATGAATAGCTCATACAATTAAATGAGGTTTGTATTTTATTAGTTACTTTCAGTCTTTGACATACAAATCATGAACAACTTTGAGCAGGGGACAATCTCAAGACATCTGAGTGGACAGTGCTAGTCGCAATGTCTACTTTCAGCGGAACAAATTCATTCACTGCTGCCCAGAAAAGGTCCTCCCATTGAGTCTGAGACGCGGGACGCGCAGGTAGATGGATCACTGCATTGAATCAAAACGTTCCTCGAGTCATTGCCCTAGAGGTCATAATTTACTGATTACGTGATACTTTTGCGCAGTACAGGATGCGCAGTATAATGTCAAGGTCTGAGTTATCTACCGAACTCGAAGGTTGAGGCAGATAACACAGACACGAGGGTTTATAACTCATGATACCCATTAGGGGCGTATACAAGTTTTTTCCGCCCGCTTGACTTTTATAATATGACTTGTGAGAAATTTAAATCGAAAATCTTTCTCAGGGAACAGGCCTACATTAAAACGAAAAACTGGCGTCGCCTCTGTCCACATCTAGTAAAAGCGTTCAGCCATTTTGAGTTTCTCTCTGAGTTAACACAAAACAGACTATGGGCTTGAAAACTAAGCAGACTTTGCACTCGACATGATAAATGCGATATCCTCTGAATAGAGGTTTTGCACAGCAGCCATGTTGGATGGCAGGAACAATGAAAATATTTTGTGTATGATGCACGATCCTCGCAGCAGAGAGCGCTATTTATGCAATAGCGAAAAATTTTTTTCAGGTCTGACTTTCGCTATTGCATAAAATAGCGCTCTCTACTGCGAGGATCGTGCATCATACGTATCTATAACCGC